CAGCTGTTTTGGGAACAGGTATGGATAGCTTTCATTCTCTGCGCTGTAAATTAAAACAAAAATGGTCCTACATAATTTTGGGATTTTTCTTTCTTCACAGATTTTCATTATAGGGAATAATGGATCCAAGACAAGCAGATTTTCAGGTCTGCCTTCCTTTGGTCCTTGATCACTAAACAATAGTGCTGCAGAACAGAAATTGCTTTGGGAGCTGGTTTTTTTTGTTTTTTTCTTTTGGGAATGATGTGCACTACAGACCTTAAGAGTATCTCAATACATTTTCTTGTTTAAAAAAGAATGACATCGGAAGTATATTCTGCGTTAGTTTCTTCTCTGTAAGATACAAACCTTCCAAAAATCTATAATCTTTCTACTTACCCACAACACAGAAAGTCATGAGCTATCTTCTTTCATAGGACCCCCAATGTTGCAGGGGTCTTTTCCTTTTAAATATTCCCTAAATATTTTAGTGTTTATTTACAGTCACCAACATAATTATTTTCTTCATCTTTGGGGTATTTTTCTGCTCTCTGAAAGCATATTTCCTTCAATAAAATGAAGAAAGTATTAATCTAGGATGCAGTAATCTCTTTGTTGTACATGTGGCATTGTGGCTTCCAGGTTGATGATGTTTTTCCAATCCCCTTAAATTATGGGAAAACTTCAAGTATCACTTTGTATAACAAATGCAAAGAAAACATAAACGTAGCCATTGTTGTGACTTAAAGATGAAGAGAGTTCTTCTTTCTATTTATTTGTCACAAGACCTGTATTTATTGTCTGCCTTTAGAGTGAGTGGGGCTGGAGTATCACGTGGCAGCCAGTACGGTGTGTTTGGGACAGAAAAGATAAAGGATCCCAGGCCCCTGCATGACAAGGCATTCATCCAACAATGTATCAAGAAGCTCTGTGAGGTAACATATTAACTTATTCTGCATGTATGTTATGAGGTGTAAAATGTACTAATCAAAATGGTTATTTCTCTTGGTTTCAACTCTAAGTTGTATTTAGTGACTTGTATTCCATGTTTCTTTTGCACAGTTCCTTGTTGAGAACGCTTATGCCTACAGTGTTTCCGTGAAATCGCTACAATCTCCATCAGTTAAGGACTTTTTAAAGATCTTCACCTTTATCTATAAATTCCTCTGCCCTTCTTACGAATTGCCTGACTCAAAATTTGAAGAGGAAATTCCCAAAGTTTTTAAAAACCTTGGGTAAGATGATTGTTAGTCTCTTGGGCTGAATAGATATGCTACAGCTAGAAATTTAAAAGCTAAGAGTTCTGCATTGATAGTTGGGGAGAATGGATAGGTTTCTTTACTCAGATAAGACTGAAAGTATAATGTTGTGATTGTTTTGTTTCACTTTTGTTTAGCTCTAGGTTTGCTCTCTGATTTTCAGCATCTATTGTGCATTTTAAATTTGAAGTTACAGAACTAAAAGCTCTTGGAATCTTGCTTTGTAATGTAAAAGCTAATTGATTATTTGTATAAAACTTTGAAAGACAAGACACAGTTTTCTTTTACAGACCTTTCTGTTCGAATCTAAGAACTAAAATTTCCAGAATTTTGGATCAAGCTAATTTAGTTTAAAATATGTTTTGCTGCAATTGTTCTCATTCTGCTTTTAAAGCCGGATGTGGAAATAACAAAAATTACTGTTGAGGTGAAAAAAGCACTGACTATCTGAGTGGTTTATTGCTGAATTTGTTCAGTGTTTGAAATCATTAACACCCCGATGCTTTCCAAGAAAGAAAATCTTCTGCCTGTTGATAATTGGGAATTTTCAGTCTCATTTTAAAAAAAAGTGTATTTTAGTCCTGTAGATTTGAACCTATTATGGTGTGAAAGTGCCAGGGCTTCTTAAATGTAGGTGTAAATCTGTTTTGTTCACTTCTCAGCATTTTAATAAAATTTTGTTTTAATCTGTAACATTTGAAACTGCTGACCGAGCTTGAAATGTTGAAAAGGATTACACTCTGCTACATCAAGAGTGTAATTCTGGATAAAATTACTAATTCTAACAATTCACTTGAAGTTTTGGGAGTTCAAGGAGCATCAGGACCACACTCTCGATCATATGGTTCAGTTGTAGGCAGTCCTATGAGGAGCAGGGAGTTGGATTTGTTGATCTATAGGGGTCCCTTTCAAACCAAGGTATTCTATGAATCACTTAAATGAGAAAGCCATGATAATTGAATAAAACAATGCTGGAAGAACTCAATTTATTTTCTTTGGAATACAGTATAAAGTACAGTGGAGTATGCTCTTGCTTCTGTGCCTTCATCTACATATAAGAATGTGCTTTTTTATTTTCAAAATATGCTGTTTTGTTTTCAGCACTGTCTGCCACAGCTATTAAAAATGTATCTTCTTTGGCCTTATAGGTACCCCTTTCCTCTGTCAAAAAGCTCCATGTACACCGTGGGTGCACCCCACACCTGGCCTCAGATTGTGGCAGCTTTGGTTTGGTTAATTGATTGTGTCAAGGTAACATTTGTCTTAAGATAAATATTCCCACTTTCCAGGCTGGAATGTTAGTTTCAATACAGATCTAGTAAATGTTTTCTACAAATCTCCTTGTCTAACATATATATAAAGAAAAAGGTGGATGTTCTTAGCTGTCATCTGGGAGCTGACCCTTAGCTTTATGTTTCAGTAACTTTTAAAGGGATTTTTTCATGTTATAGTGTGATAATTTTTTTCTTTAAACGTATGCACTGGATAAATTCATGTATAAAAAAAGGTGGGGAAGTGCTGGCTTATACATACATTAAATGTGAGAAGATAATGTGTGTATCTTCAGTGCAAATGTTGTGACATCTGCCATTCTCTCCTAAATTTGAAGGATGGAATTTTCAATTGAAATTATTCAGTTGTCCTGTGATTCTGATACAGAGTGACAAGTTTTGTGTTCAGGTGGGGTGTTTTTATTTAATTTTGGTTTGTTTGGGTTTTTTAGTAGTGGTAACTGTTGTTGCTGCCAGCTCAGGTCTGAGCAAAACTTGGAATCTGTGACAGAAGTTCACCACTGCTGAACTGAGCACCCATGAAAATCCTGTCATTTTTTTTGCTGAAAAAACACGAGACAATTCGGCAGTGTTGACTGTCCCGTTCACGCCTCTTTGCTTGTGTGTTTAGTCAACTCAACACAGGCTCATTCCAACCTCCTTGCTAAAAAAATCCTAATCGAGTGTTACTCTGCTTGTTATCATGAGACTAATAGGAAAACAAATGGATGTCTTCACATTTGCTCTTTGTGTGTGCACCTCTGCTTTTCAGCTGTACAATGCCATCAGGGAAAATGCACCATCGTTCGATGACAGACAGAGCTGGGGAGGAGAGACGGATGATGGCATCGTACATAATAAGGTACCATAAAAAGGAAATTGCAATCAGAATTGCTCGTGTGCTGTAACAACACAATTTAAATACAGTTTAGATTGTTGAGTCATGTATTTATAGATTCTGTTCCCTTTTATATTCACCACACTTTCTAGGAAGTAGAGTAACATCATATAAAAAGCCTGATCAGCTATTTCCTGAGCAGTCTATTGATGAAGACTGAGTATTAAACAGAAATACCTTATTCTCCAAGTATCTACTGTTTCAGTTCTCCTTTGTGGAGAAAGGGAATTATGCTATTTATTATTTTAGTAGAATTTCTGGTATATTTTGCTTTAGTACTCGAGAGTTCTGAGGTTAACAGCAGTGCAGTGTAAAGATAATATCTTAATTCTAAATATAGTGGCTTCTGCCAATACCTACTCAGTTTACTAAGTAAAAATTGGTTGTAACACTTTATTTCTGAGTCTTAAAATAGGGTGGCAATGTAATTCAGGTTCTTAGAAATCCAACAGCTTGCTTTTTTTTAAATTTATCATGGATTATTAGTACTACTCAGATTTAACTCAGTGTTAACTCACAACAGGTGTTTGGAAGGGGTCACATTATAGCTGAAACATTTAATTAGAAAATTGCAAAAATCAAGTAAAATCATAATTTTGGGCTAAAGTTACAACCTGATGATTGGAAAATAAAAATGCTTTCAAATTAAATATGTTCTTCTACACCAGCATTTCTGCATATATGTTGATACAAAATTCAGAATACTGGTGTAATTGCTTCTGAAATATCTGTAACTTAGTGTCTAGCAAATTCTTTCTGAGTAACTTGTCTTTAATTCTAGATGAGTTCTTTGACATTTGCAGATCTGAATTTAATGGTCATATTTACTGAAGAGGTCCCTTAAACAGATCTCAATTTTCCATAAACTAGCCTGAGAGAATCATAAGCGTCGAGATCAAAAATTCTTAAATATTGTACCTACAATCATTGTTAAATATCCCAGAAAAATACAGCATTTCCAGACCTTTCATAATGTGAATTATAGGTGCCTCCTTCTGCCTGAATATAATCTGTTGACATTCTACTTTCAAAGGGAGGAAAAAGGATTAATTTTACAAAAGTATAATCAAAGCATTGAAAGATATTTTTGATGTCTGTTTAATTCCACTGATTGAGTAGCTTTAGGCTATCCAGATATTTGACAGGCCTTGGAATTCTTGAAATAAAATATTTTTAAATTGTTTTCAGCTTTTCATGGACTACTGTGTGAAGTGCTATGATCTTTTCATGAAAGGGAGAGATACATTTGAAGAGTTGAATGCTGAAGTGCAGTCAAAATTAAGTAAGTTTTCAAGTTTTAATTAAGTATTCAATTGTGTTACTGGTTTCTTTTCTCCTAGTATCAGTTTGTTCAGTTTAGAAGTGAAAGTGATCTAAGGGAATTTGAAATTATTAAGTACCTTTCAGTTACTTCAACTTAATGCTCTCTTCTTTTGTATGTACTTTAGCAGTGCAGATGGATAGGTCATGATCTGCTATCAGCTGTAGCTGTGTCACCTGTTTTTTTTAATGGCTTTGTCACAGAAAGCCAATATACAATTCTTCAGATGCGAACTCCATCTATGCAGATGACTCCTGTTTCTGTCTGGCAAAGTTAACAATTTAAAATATATATATATTTTTTCAGAGAGTGCACACTTGATAAGTAAGAAAATTCTGCTTTTGAAAGCTCTGCAAACAGTCTGCAAGAGTTCCAAATTATTGTGAGGGTTCCTGTATATGATTCAGCATGCACCTGTGTGTTTGTCTTCAGGGAGGTGGAAAATTACTAGGTTTTTTTGACTCGCTCATTGACCACCTCTACAGAAATACAAACAGAATGTGAGAACAAGGAAGAAAAACATTTCTTACTTTCTTTGTTCTCCTATGAAAAGCCGGATTAAGGGCCCTTTATTTGCAAACTGGAGCCATCCATTGGAGAGGAAATAAGCTACCATGCTGTTACTGGATATTAGGAAAAAATAATCATACCATTGTTTGGCAAAGGCCAAGTGAAGTTGGGGAAAAGAGGTCTCAAGAAGCAAGGAAGTATATGGATAAGAAAGAGGTTGTTAAATAGGTTTGATCTGTTCTAGCTTCACAAGGTAGTCCTGACTTATATACTCTCCTGTGGTGTGGGCTGTATGAGAGTTTGGAAGCCCTTACCTCTTGGGAGTGACTTTGTGGACTGAGAAACCCATTTCTCTTCTTGTTTGTTTTGGGGTTTTTGCCTGGTTGCATTTTAATGAAAGGTTTTTCTGGTAAGTTTGTTTCTTGGTTGTTTTTAGTTATTTCTTTAATGTAAAATAATTGTCCAGATAGTGGGTATTTATTGTGCTGAAGCTAAAGTTCAGATACTCGGAATAGGTGGTGATATTAAGTGAGATTAATTTGTAACCCTCCTCTCTCTTCTGCTCTCCCACAGAGGATTTATTTAATATAGATCAATCCCAGATGGAAAGTTTAGCAACTGAAAACAAAAGACTTCAAGAAGAGATTGCAAGATTAGAAAAAGAAAAGGAAAGCGAGCCGGTTAGTAAATTTGGTCTCTGTTTTTATGGTGGAATTGAATTTTATATTATTGACCATTTTTGAATGAAGATACCTATGATACATAACAAATGGAAAATTTTCAGTGCTTTGAGATTTTAATTAGTTTTTATAGACTCTATACCATTATAGATTAAGGCTTCTTCTATGGAGTCTTCAGTCACTATTTTTTTGATAATGTGCAGATATTGCCAGGTAATAAGGCCTTCTAGTGATAAAAATATTAATAAAATACTTGAACCACTTTTTTAATATAAATTTCAATGTTGTTTTCCAAATGTGTTCGTATGACATGTGGAATTCAGTGGTAACAATATATTTTATGGAAAACATTTTGCTTGAAAAGACAGATTCTGCTTTTAATGCATCATGAGTTTAAAAATGGGTTAGTGGCTGTGCAGGTGGCAAATTGAGACTCCTGCCAACTATGCAAAATGTGCTGGATTTATTCCTGGCTTTCCATGCCCTAGTTTTATCTGCACTCTGTATATTATTAGAGTTGAGTTGTGAACTACTTGTAGTAAGAATTGTCTAAATGCAGTGTCAGATGCAAATGAGAGACTTAATGTTGAAATGTAAGAATTTTTTCAGTCTTCCCTGCTGTTTATTTAAAGGTGTTTGACTTGACTCAGCTGTCACAGAGATAAAAAATTATTAAAGTTCTTTAGTTTTATATTTCTGCTATTGATACTGACCAATTACTCTACTGTCTTGTCTGGAAAGTTAAGTCATTGTTTTATATTCATCTAAGAGTGGTTGTTCTTTTCACCCATTTCCTAGGATCGTAGAGTAACGCTACGAAATGTGAAATCGTCTCTTCAAGCAGATGTCCAGAAATACCAGGCTTATTTGGCTAGTCTGGAATCTCATATAGGCATCCTTGATCAAAAACTGGAAAGTCTTAATGATGAAGTTGAGACAGCAGGTAAGAAGGCCTTGATTACAGTCAGGACAGTGAAGCTAGAAAGAGTGTTCAAGTAACTGTAGTTCTTAGCTTGAGGAGAGAGCAAGATACCTGGAGCGGGATGTTGCTGCAAATAAACTTTCCAGAATGGATTACTAATAAAGATTTTTTGTTTTCTAATAGCTCTTTGTACACTAGAGTAATGAAATGATAATGATATATAATCATTATGTTATTTATTCATGAAATACAGAGGTGAGGTTTATGTATATAGGCTGGTATTTTGTGTCCATTTCACAAATTAGAAACGGAAGTAGAAGCAATGAAGCAGGAGAATGCCCGGCTCCAGCACATCTTAGATAACCAAAAGTACTCAGCTGTGGACATTGAGAGAATAAATCATGAGAGAAATGAACTGCAGCAAACCATTAACAAGCTGACTAAGGAACTGGAAGCAGAAGAACATCAGCTGTGGAATGAAGAGCTAAAATATGCTAGGCATAAAGAGGCGGTATGTGAAAACCCCACTATACTCGGAGATGGCTATCAGTTTTCATCATGCAAGCTTGAAAATTGGACTCTTGATCATTTCTTTCCTAAATAATCTAACAATACCATACATGTATCTGATTAGGCAAAACTGACAAGAATGGCCACTGTTTGCAATATCTCTGAAAAATGTTCCTTTTTTTCTGTTTTGTGATTAATGGAAATGTTTTGGTTTTTTGCTGCATCATAAGAGATGTAGCTAGAATATGAAACATTGTCAGCTCTCACTGCTATAGCATTAAAAGCTTTGATAACATTAGCATACCATTGCTTTGACAACACAAGAAATTTCAGGCTAATGTTAATATTTCAGAGCAATGAAGTAAGGCAAAACTAGTGAATTTGAATCAATAGATTTGCATGCATTTAGGGCCTGATTAGTTCTTTGTGTAGAAGTTGTAACATCTTTCAAGGGCCAAGTTCAATCCCTTCAAACAGAATGAAAATATATAGTCCTGTAAACGATGGGATTTAAAAGCTTCTACTTTGCCAATTGAAGAACTAAAGAAAAAAGTTTCAAATATATGTGATAGGGTTACCCATTATCAAGCACTTGTATTAACTTAAATTGTCATGTGCAAGTATGAAGCACATAAAACTGGAAAAAAACCTGGGTTCTTTAATGCTTGCATATAAATAGCACTCATTTATTAGGAATTAGAGCATTTAGTAAACTTTATTTAGAGGCATGCTCAAGTTAGTTTGTAATAAGAATGTGTGGCTGTGTGGCATTTCCTGTCAAAACTAATGACAGAAGGTATATTGACATGATGATTGGTTATTGGTTTAGTATTATTTTCCAGCATGTTTTTGGTTACCTATCAGCTAATTCTCAAAAACTTGAGGCAGGAAAAATTATGGCAGATGAATATGGAAAACCACAGGTGAAACTGTTCAGTGTCAGCCATATACCTGAGTAACCTGGCTGAGCAAACTCTGAAAGAATCATAAAACAGTACCTAATGCAGCAAACTGCTGGACTGGCATTACATACAGCTCTTGAATACTGTGGTGTAACAAGGAATCATGTCTATAGAGAGCAATCCAGGAACTTGTTTGAAGTGCTATAAGTATACTTCTTGCAAAGCTTTTCACCTGTATCTCTTCTGTGATTTTTGCCCTTTTCTCCTCCGAGCAGATTGAAATGCAACTGGCAGAGTATCATAAAATGGCTCGAAAGCTGAAATTAATTCCAGTAAGTGCTGAGAATTCCAAAGGCCACGACTTTGAGATTCAGTTTAATCCTGAGGCAGGACCAAATTGCCTAGTCAAATACAGAGTTCAGATCAAGGTAAGTAGAGTCAACACTGAAGGCTTTAGTTACCATTCACAAAAAATGTGTTTCTTTGGAAATACTGGAAAGATCTCTCAATCTCATAATGAAATCTCATTGAAAACTTGTGCAATGAGTCACCATAATGACAGTGTGGTATATGAAAGAGATTTGGTCTTGGAGAATAGAGTAGCCTAAAAAAAAACAAGAAGGAAAAGATGTACTAGGGTGCATCTTGGTTCAAATAAGCAAATTGCATTTGTTGGATCTTCTTGTGTGCATATTACAGGCTCCCCTCATGGAGATCATCAATGAGACTGAGGAAGAAATTAGTAAAGCTACTGAACGGAAAATGACTTTGGAGGATACTTTGGAACAGGTGTGTTGGTTAATGAAGATTAGGACTAAGATACCAACCCTAAAACCTTATCTGTTGCTTTTATTCAGCCTTTTGCATGGGTGAAGTGTGGTGTGGTGGATTGGTTTTTTGGATTGTTTGGGGTTTTTATGAGGACAAGCAGAGGGAGAAACTGTGAGAAAACTGCTTTGTGATGGAACGTAAAAGTTTTTCTAAGAATTGGGGTCTTTGTTGATTGAAATATTGTGTATTCCTGAATTAAAGTTTATGTAGCTTACATATATTTGACCATAAACACTGGAAATACTAGCTTTTAATAAGTTAACCATTCCAGTCGACTGTGTGGCTTACCATCACTGACAAATTGTCATCAGGAAGATTTTTGGGAATATTTGGTTTGGGATTGATTGAAAGAAGGAGAATTTCATTTCCTCATTCTTCTATGTTTACCTCAGTTTTTATTGCTGAGCATGATGTTATGTGGTATGGAATGTCCTCTTTGTCTATGCACCTTCCCAGTCCCTTGCCCATCCCCATCCTACTCATTGAGGGGCCCTGTGAGGGACAGAAAGCCTTGGAATGCTGTGCTAGCACTATTCAGCCGCAGCCAAAACATTGGGGTGCTACCAGCACTGTATTAGCCCTTACACAAAACAAAGCATAATACAGGCTGCTATGAAGAAAGGTAATGCCATCTCAGTCTAGCCTAGTTAATTGGTTTTTTTTGGAGCTACCAGGTGTAGTTTGTGATGGCACAGACTTAGGTTGGAATTTTTTTGGAACCATATTTCCTTGGTGATGTTTTCATCCTAGGTGAATATAATGCTGGAGGACAAGAAACGCAGTGTGAAAATGCTGACAGAAGAAGCTGAAAAGTTGGATGATCTTTACCAGGAGAAGCTTAAGGTAGAACTTCTTACAGCTTGGTGACAAATTACCCTTAATGATACTGTTATCCTTAATCTTTGTATTTATAGATAAGTTTTTGGGTTGCATTTTTGTTTGGGCTTCTGCCTTTGCCTTCTTCAGTTCCTCTTACAGGATTTTTTTCAGTCTTCTCAGAAAAGTGATTTGATTGCTACCTTAATTGAATTAGTTTTCACTTTCTTGTAAGAGAATCTCGCATGGTACTGTAGCAGATCCTGTAAATCACAAATTACTGCATCCAGTAATAAAAGCATCCTGACCTCAGAATGTCGCCAAGCATGTGCTAGAAGGAGATTTTAGGATTAACAGAATCTGCCTCATCTAATCAATTTGTATATAATAAATACATTTGCAGTTTTTAATAAATGTATTTAATCATTTTCTGTAAAAACTAAGGAAAACATTGATTGACCAAAAGCATGTTAAATTGCTTTAACGATCTCAAACTGTTGCTTGTTTTAGCTTCCTTTCCCAGCACAGGAGCAGTCCCTATCCTTCTCTCCACTCACAGTTCAGCAACAAAACATAGCCTTCTCTGTTAACAACCGAGTGGCTATTTTGGTACTTCCCCACTTTTCTGACAACACTGCTTTGGTGGGGCTGTGGTGCTCTGCAGAAAAAGGTTCTTTGAACTAAGCCAGTGTTTACCATATATACTTTTGTAAATCCAAATTCCTGTCCTATAACCATGGAACAGGGTTATTTCACTGTTAATACCTGCTGAGTTGTCTAAATGCAACTAATTTAGTTTATATTTTTCAAAACCACATGAAATTTAGCTTTTCATCTGTGCTCTTACATAAACTTTTCTCTAAGGTTAAGCTCATAAAATACACAGTTTCCATGTTTATAATAAGACATAGTCATATAATTCCTTTTGTAATTTTTAAAATGCTGTTTGTAAGCCTTAAGTATTAAAATTATTTTTGAAGGATGATGTTTCAGTAATCTATCAGAATTGCATGTTGAGTTGATGGTAGAATTTTGTTTAGTTTTGTGGATTGTATAGCATCAACAGTGTCATTCTCCTTGAAGAGATGATTACTTGGAATTGGATGCTCTTTCAGACAAAAAGGAAAAGCTATTTCCGCCTCAAATGTGGTTATATTTTTTTAGAAATATAGAAACTGTTGTTCATGATGTGCCATTTCTAAGCTATTTAGACTATCTAAACACCACTTTGAGTTTAACTCTGAAGGGAAAATAGCTGCAACACAGACCTTTTTAAATATGGTTACAAGAATAAAGAGATGGTTAGGCTAATTCTGTGATGAGGATGATACAGAAAACAGCTGAATCTTTAGGTTTGGGAGGGATGTCCTCAGGGATTTTTTTTTTCAGTTCTGAACATAGAGTTACTTGTGAATTTTGAATCCAAGCATTGGGATGTAATCAGGTAATAGAAAGAAGAAAAACAATCCAAATTATTCCTGAGCAATGCAATTTTTTCTCCTCTTTCCTTATGACTGTAGGAAATAGAAGAGGAAGAGCAAAAATGTGCAAATGAATGGGAATCGTTGAAGAAGCATAAACAGTTACTTGAGAGTGGTGTCTATGAAGGTCTCAGTGAAGCCACAAATGAATTGCATGATGTCCAACGACAGTAAGACTCATAACTTCCATGTTTGCCTTATTTATTTTGGTTCTGAAGGATAGTCTCTTGAATGTTACATGAAGTTGTTTCAGCATGTATCCATCTCAGTGTATTAATTTCACAAATTAACAACTGAAAGATGTTTCTCCTCAACAGTATTTTGCTGGAATAGTAGTCTGCTGTATCAGAACTCCTGTTTTCCATGTAACTTTGTATATATGGTTGTAACAAAGAAATTAGTTTGTTTCCAAACTTACATGACAACTGCATTTTATACCTCAAAGTCTGGAAAGAGTATTGGGATTCTAAGGTACATTGTTTCTTATCAGTTAGCTCAACACAGTCCTTTTTTTTTTTTTTTTGAGCGTTAATATATTCTAGCCTGGTTCAAATCAATACTAATAGCGAAAAAAAAGTATGGATAAGCATGATGATAAATCAGACTTGAAGTGATTGTTTTAAATGTCAGGAATTCTCTAATTATGGACATGACCTTCTGAGTATCTTTACCTTTTAGATATCAAGTTGTTTTGCAAACAACAACAGAAGAGAAGAGAAAAACTGATGCTAACTTGAATCGTCTTATAGAAACAGTTGCTACTCATATAGCATCTATAGTGGTAAGCTAAAATTTGATATTCAGAATAAAATGTCTCTAGAGACATTTGCAGTTAAACACTTGGAAATTAGAACTTGCTCTAAGGAAGTAGCAGTTATTTAGCTGCTGCGCTGAGTCACTGGATTCTAGTTAAATTTTCTGGTATAAATAATCAGAAATTGATCCTTAAGTTTAAGCAGTAACATCCTGTCAGGTTAAACCTGCTTCTAGTAGATGTCTTTCAGTAAAGCGTTTTAACTGAAATCAGTTAACCTGTGCAGTGACTGCCTAAAATGCTTTAGCAGAATCAGTACAATACAGACCATGATAGAGCTAAGAAAGCTTTCTGTACCTCTTTTCTAGAAATACATTGATGAACAGAATGCGAAAATTTACAGAGACTACGAAGAACTTATGTCTGAAGATCTGTTGTCAGACTTGACCAGCATCCTGGACAGTTATAAAAAGAAGGCTGAAAGTGTCTAATCACTAGAACGGTGAAGATAAAAATGTTGCATTTCTGAAGTGCTGGTATGGTGCTTTCCAAAAGGATGGGTACTACCTGTGTTTAGCACTGAAACTGGTTTTAAGCAGAAGGAAATAGTTATGAATGTTCTTTGTTTTATTGACACAAATACATTAAAGAATTAAACAGTATATTTGCATTTTCTTAAAAATGCTTTGCTCAGACTTCGTACTTTCAATAGCATATATATGCATTTAGGACACGCATGACAGACAGTTCACATCCTTCCCCAAGCCTTATTTTACTAGCAAGACTAAATGTAAATATCTGTCTCCTGCTTGCTCAGTTACCTATGAAGCTGCAGAGAGATAACTCTTACATGAGTAAAAAATCAAAACCTCTTTTGAAAATATTAGTCCTTATATAGTAGTATTGTAAATAGTCTAGAAAAAGAAACACAGTAGTTTGAAAACTAAGTTTTGTCTTTAGCTGCTCGTGCTCCCAGATGAAACTTCACTGAACTTCTTCAATATGTGCACCAGAGAAAGCTCCAAGTAGGACATCATGAATTCTGGCTGTATATCTAATCAGTTGTAGGTTTGGTTCATGTTAGATACATTGATGTGGTCTAAAATGTCTGTATTCTTGTTAAGCCAGTTGGACAGACTATTTGACTTTCTTCCTCAGGAAAGTAACAGTAAAATTAGTGTATGGGCAGCTCTGGTCCAAATACTTTGAAGAAAGCAGATTGATGCTATGTAAGAGTAATATCTTTTTATGTATTCTGTGTATAATTTTGTGTTAAAAATAAATAAAACCCAGTATTCATGTCTTGGATAGTTTATTATGCTATTTCCCAATAAAAGCATTGACGTTTTTGAGTGTTGTTTTTAGAGGTCAGACATTCAAATATAAAAAGATAATGATAAAAAGATAAATATAAAAAGATATTTTGTTTCAGATATGATAATGAATGACATTATTTAAGCTTATAATTTTCTGTTCCTTTTTTATACTCCAGAATTTTAATTTGACAGCTAGAAAAGTCTTCTGACAGGTGGGAAGTTTTTATGCTTTCTTTTGTTGTCCTCTTTTATCTTTACAGATTCTTTTTGTTTTCTGTAACAGACTAGTGTTTACTACATCCCAGTTCCTTCTCTTTAGAAGTTTTTTCCTTTTTTGATCTCTTTAATGTTTTTGTCATCTAAAGCAATTTAGCAATCTAAAGTAGCAAAACTATGAGCTGTATATGAGAGCTACATTACTTTAAAGTATGTGCTTATTTAGGGGCTATGCTCTCTCTTGACTTCCCCATACCTGTTTGTCACTGCTTCTATAACTGATCTTAGTGTTTCTTAGCATCTGTAGGTTCCTTGTCAGTTGATTAAATGAAAGCAAATTAAATGGCATTCCAAGGACTTTATATTAATCCTAACGAACGTGGGTCTAAGAATCAAAATCACAATGCCTTCGCTTAAAGCACTGGCCGATGTAATATTCTGAAATTAAAGTAGTCCAAATATTAAAAAAAAAAAAAAATCCATGCTAGTAACATTGGCCATGTGTTTTTGCTATGGTCTGTATGTCAGTTAAGCTGAACTGCCTTTAGAACCACCTCAAATTTGGATCTAGGTTCTGTAATATACTATGGGGCTGTTTGCTGTAATCTAACAGATCAACATCAGCCAATGTTGTCTAGGTAGTTTGTCTTTGCCATTTAAAAATTGAAGGAATTGTTTAATCCTTGTTGAACATGTCTCTTCTGTGATATTAGAAGTCAGGTAGTTATTTTTTATTTGTATTCTGGAATATGGCTTTTAAATTCAGGCAGTAGGCACTAGAACATAATTACTGCTCTTGGTTTTGGTTTTGTTTCTTTAGTGGAATATAAAGTCTTAATGAGAAAGTACCACGGCACCTATACATTTCAGAAGTGTGAGTCATTTGTAAATTTTGGCTTTTGTATGGATACAATTGCCCTATTTAGTGCTAGTGTACCTTTTGTACAGTTCAATATGTGAAGATTTTGTGTTCTTATACTCAATATTTCTTATGCCAGTTTCTATAAAGGACCGATTCTTACTGCAAGTGTAGAAATATGACATAAAATCCCAATTAATCTGACTTTCCTCGAGGAACTAGATAATTATTTTAGCAGCAGATATTAATTCCCTGGCTCTTCTTACTGTTCAACATGCATTGTGTAGAGGAAAAATAAAATACAGAAACATCTTCTACATGTAAGTTTTAGAGGAATAAAAATTGCTTTAACCTTTTTAAAAATAGATAACTTCTTAAAAATTCTTAGGAATATAGGGCCAAGCTGCTTTGACAATGACTTATGTGGTGTCCTTTTGGCATTAATCTCAGCAACCAACCTTTTGCTCTCTTAATATTACATAAGTATCTCCTTTACGTGACCACTCTTGAATCTGCTTTTTTTATTATTATTTAGCTATAAAAAATAATACTTGATGCTGTAGAAGCATGGCTGGAACTCTGTCTGTATCTTTCTTCTTTTACCTAGGGTATGTTGTTTTTTATATATTTTGTTGTCAGAAGCTCTCGTCACCATCAAGAACGTGCTAGTTCTTTTTTTGGAGTATTTCTTGAGTGCATCATGTAGATTCATTCAGGTTGGAAAGGGCTTCTAATTTCATTGAGTCCAACTGTTAACCCACCACTGTCCAGTTCACCACTCAACCATGTCCCTGAGTGCCACATCCTCATGACTTATGAATGCCTCCAGGGCTGGTGATTCAACCACTTCCTTGAGCAGCCTGTTCCAATGCTTGACAGCTCCTGCTGTGAAGAAATTTGTCATAATCGCCAATTTAAGCCTCCCCTGCTGCAACCTGTGCCTGCTAAGGCTTTAACTTTGCAGTGTCTGCTCAGCTCACTTGTATGAGGCTTCTGTAATGCTCTTCATTGGTTTTGCCAATGTAAGCATGGCATACCTATGCAAGCCTTTAGTTATGAGTCAGGTAACAATTTGTGCTCTGTGGTTCTGTAGTACTTCCAATAGTTTGCCTGCTCTGGCCTTTTATGGGGGTTCTCATACCTGCTCCAACTTCTGTGGTAGAATTAAAAAAACACCTATATTTTTTAATCTCCTTTTTTTGAAAGAGTAAGAAAAGAAAAAGCCAATAGCTGAAGCCATTCCCTTTTCACTAACAGGGGCAACTCCTTCAGTACAATGTTCTAGTAAAAAGAGAAGACTGGTCTCTCATGCTGTAAAGCAGTGGAGATTTTGTGAACAAGGGTATTGCCTATTAATTCCTAATCTACAGGTTGTTTGGTATGCAAGTATTTTGAGCACTGCAAACAATCTGAAGAGACTATATATGTAACCTTTCCATTCTTCTTTGGGGTGCACTTGTTTGCATTAATACTGGAAACCTTCATGTGTCCTTTAGAACCAGTTAACCTTCCTCTTTTGGCAGTAGTACAGAACAGGGAATTTACCTGGTGTTTTTTTAATGCTTCCTGTCTACAGATTTTTGGCTGTGAAAAGGTCCTGGTGTGATGAAATCATGTATCATTGAGAATTTTGCTTGCAAAGCTCTCCACCATATAGGGCTATTGAATCTTCATTGGGATTTTACATTTTAGGTGCTTGTTGGAAGTTTTGATGGTATTTATTCCTTTTTAAGAACTGGAAGAAGAACAGAACACACAAAGGCCTCAGTGTCCCCTACTGGAAGAGGGACTATCAATGCTTTAGCCAATGTCATATCTAAGAGATATGCACTGACATCTTCAGTCCTGTATCAGGAGATTAGCAGAGACCAATCACTCAGCTTGAGGAAACTCTTAATTTTGCAGCCTTTTTTTTTTGTTGTTGTTTGTTTATTTGTAGAACATGATCTGTTAACAGGACTTGTCTAGACATGACAGATGCCAGGTCTGTTGTCCACTACTGCCTGCTTTAAAGTGGACCTCTTGTGAATGCTGGTTCATAAAGGTCTACCAGTCCCAGTGTTTGCCTGAGGAAGACAAGATCACATGTCTGTCTACAGGATGATTGGCTGCATTGTCCCTCCATTAACAGAAGTTCTTATCAACAGCTTCATGATAACAAGGAGCCTTTGTGTTGTGTGGCCTGTATGTTGTTTTTCCTAGCACCTCATGCATGAGACCACCATGAGTTTTAATTGGCAATGACTTGATAAGCATTTTAGTCTCAAGAACCCTTTGCATAAGGGAAAGATTTAAAAGGCACGTAACATTGTGTGTTACTCTAATTTCACCTCTAAAGAAACATTTATCAGACTGGGAAGACTCCAAAGCAGAAGGAAAGACAGGTGGTGATGGAATGTGCATAAATATTTTGAAACAAGCGAGATGTATGTAATTTTATTTCATTTTTCCTACAAGAATTCAGAATAGTGAATGCCTTTGTATTGGTAGAAGTCATGTGGTTCTTCTGAGAACACTGAACACTGTGTTCATGCACAACAACTGGTATGCCCAGCTGAAAGGCATTCACTATTCTGCCTGGAAAAGAGCATCTGGAGCTACTAGTTCTAATTATCTGGAAGGTCTTGATTAGCAATGGAAATTACATTACATTTGAAATGCAGCATGGACACCAAATAATGGGGTCTGCCAGACTACTGCCGGGTAGTGACTTACCATCCTCTTTCCCCCTCCCAAGGGTTAGGCCATCACTTGTAATAAAGTTATACGGAAAGCTGCAGAGCTGAGTCATACAAGACAAGAAAGGAAAAACAGTCAGAGGTTGCACAGTTCAGACACATTTAGTATTTTAAGAGGAAAACCACTAACTTGAAAGATACAGAATTTTAAAGGTATAAACAAGAAATCAAGGAATGACAATTCAGCATTAATGAGGATGTCTCCCAGCAACTGCGGGATTGTTTGATTCCTCAGAAGCTATTTCTCGGGTGTTTTATTATGGGTGCTGAGAACATAAATATTTATCCTAAAAGCTCCTTAAATACCATCTGTCTTTTGTGTGTGCTTGTCTTGGGTTTGCACGGCCAGGTTTTGGTAGCAGGGGGACTACAGGAGTGGCTTCTGAAAGAAGCTGCTGGAGGATTCCTCCATGTCCAGCAGTGCCAATGCCAGGCAGCTCCAAGATGGATATGCTCCTGGCCAAGGCTGGGCCAATCAGAAATGCTTCCACGATAACATATTTAAGAAGGAAAAAATAAAGGTTATTGGCTACTGAAATTGTAGCCAGAGAAGAACAGAGTAAGAATATGGGAGAGGACCAGCTCTGTTCAAGGTCAGTGGAAAAAGAGGTGAAGGAGGTGCTCCAGGTCTGAGATTCCTCTGCAACCCATGGTGAAGCAGACTGGTTTTGGCAGATGCCTGGCATCTGGCCAGTATCAACCCG